GTCCCCTGCCTGAAGAATATTCAGAAGACCTTATTCAGTAAAAATAATTACATTTTAGCTTTTCATAAAAGCCCTTGTGCTCTGAGTTTACAAACTTTACCAAAGCTATTTTTTTTCCTTTTTCCTCTCTTCTTTGTATCATTAATGGCTATGGTATAGCATCCCATTCTGTAAGTATTCTTGAATTTAGTACTTGTGATTGCTGGTTCGGGAAGTTCTCAGATAGCTGCTTTTCATTTTGTGAATGTGATTTGAGGATGGCTGGACTATACTTCTTCTCTAAGTACTTGGTGGATTATTTTATTCTACACATCAGGCGCTCTGCTTTTGACTAAACACGTGTAATGGAACAGAATCTTCGTATTTATGGAGGACAGGTTTGCTATTGAAATTTTATCCTGAAAGATCTTTCTAAAAATCTTATTTGTTCTCTATATCCATTCAGCATATACTGAAAATATTATTAGAGGTGAAATACATAGGTTTTATCACCAAGCATAGCTCCAAGGGTGGCTTAGATGCAGTTACTTATGACACATTATTAGAGTCCACTTGTGGCTGTACAGCGTACTCGGTAAAAGTAATGTGGATTTAGTAACATCTCTAGTAGTTATCATGACTTAATTCTTTTAGCAAATGAAACTCAGACATCAGAGTACTTTCTAAAAGAGTTTTGGTGATTGTAATATGCTACAGTTACAAATTTTATATAACCAAAACCAACGGCACATAGCTGAAGCATTTCGTCAATAACTTTAAAACTGAAATGATGATAGACATTAGCCCCCAAGATGTACATGTGCTGCTTGGTAATCCTGCTTCCTTCCCAGTCATTGGGCAGTGAATCCATGAGCAACCCCCACTTCCCAGGTCCCTGTTATAGGAAACTAACTGAAAAGATCTTGAGCTTTCAAGAAATCCATTTTGCCTTTTAGTGAGAAAAACGTCAGTGAGAATTGGCTTCCCCTTTGCCTCTCTGCTATGCAAAAATAAAGCCAGTTAGGTATATTTTACCACATATTTATTGATGGGACAATAAGAGACAATCTCTGCCCTCAAAAGTACACATAGGTTATTAAGAGTGGAGACATGTGTGAGCCAATAATTACAAAGCAATGTGATAAGTACAGTAATTGAGGTGTGACATTAATAATTGAGGCATGACAACATACAGATCAGGGAAGGAGTGACTGGGTTTGAGGTGGTGGTGGGAGGTTACCTGGATGAGATCTCACGGACTAAGTGAGGGCAACCTCAGTTTCCATGGATACGAGTTAGTGAGTCAGAGGGAAATTTACAAGTGCAGTGACACAGGGGGAAAAGGAACATGGTGTGTTCTGACAGTTATAAACTTGCACAAGAGTGTAAAGTTCTAGGCATGGAAGAACAGTTAGGAGGAAAGGCCAGAAAGGTAGGCAAGTTCTAGGGCCCTTGAGGCCATGGAGGAGATCTGGGCTTCACATTCTGAAGGTTGTGTTGGAGCTAGTGGCACACCTGCAGAGCATGACGTCTCCTTTGTACATTTTATCTAGAAGATACAAATCAGCTGTCCACAATTCCAGATAACCATACTTCAGTTTTTTTGAACCACAAAGGGATTCAGAAAAAGTAGGGAGGTAAGTAAATGCAAGTAGGTCGTCATCCTTTAAAAATTCCCCAGTATGGGTGTTAGTGATGGTGCGTCTTGTGTATACCAAGAGTGGCATATTGATGACCTGTTCCGTTTAAAATATTTGTAATTCTGTGTCTATTGTGGGAGATACCAAGAAAAGAGGACATATTTTCTGTCTTCAAAACATGTCTTTTATTTCTTATTTTTGGGGGGAAGGCAGTTAGGTTTGTTTGTTCCTTTATTTATTTATTTTTAAGGGAGGTGCTGGGGATAGAACCCAGGATGTAGTGCATGCTAAGCGTGCACTTTACCTCTGAGCTCTAACCCTCCCTGCTGAAACATGTTGTCTTTCTTAAAGAATCTGAACCGTCTCTAGGGGACACAGTCAAGGATAGAGCTAACGAAGAAAGAGAAATCTGCATTGAGGGCCCTGACGCATACCCACACAGCGGGAGAAGTCGTTATTTTCGACCAGAGATGTGAGGAAGGGGCACAGAGGTTCTGGGCCAGGAAGGGTTCGCTGAGTAGCTGGAATATTCTACCACCATTAGAGTATTTGGCAAGCAGAGGAACAATTCCAAAAATAATAACAGTATTCTTGCCCTTGAAATGTACACACTTAGCATGTAAGCGAAGTATTACAGGACGATATTTTATGTGGCTTAATCATGGTACTTGTGCCTCCTGTGGACAAGCACACTGTGGAGGAGCCTCTTTGTAACTGCAGGGAGAAACTCCTCCTGGGTGTCGGAGGCCTTTCTGACCCACTCCCCAGATGCTTCACATCCAGCATCCTTTTCAGCCTCTAGCTTCAGTTTTCACCAAAGGACTTTCAAGGTAGGGTTTTGTTTTTTGTTTTTTTTTTTTTTAAATCAGCAAGTGGGCTAGAAAAGCAGTAGTGTTGTTTGAATTATGTGTGCAAAAGAATGTGAGAAGGTATTTTAGAGTAGAGGTCTTTAGGAATATAAATTTCCCCCTAATAAATCTTTTCAAAATGTTAATGAATGCTCTCAAAAAGCTGACCCCTAGTGGCCATTTGGTTTCTGTTGCATTCTCTTACTGATACTTCATTCTGCTTATGAATAGATCTATGTGGAACTAAAATTGGCACAGTCCTTTCTGTACACTAGGATAATAAAATGTTAGAAAGCATTTGTTCCGATCTTTTTTTCTTTGATTGCTTAAATTTGATTTCCGGGTAAATTGTCTTTTGAAGTTGTCAATAAATAGTCGTTAACCGTGATAAAGTTGTCAGCCTAGGGTTATATTATCTGACTGACTCGTATGATTTTCTTGGGTTGTTGCTGTGGTCTTTCTCCATCTGATACATGGTAGTCTGTCCGTGAATTTTTTACATAGGAATATATATATTAAGGGATCCATGCAGATATTAGTTGCTGCCAAAAGGAGAGTTGTTTCTTTAGCTAGAAACAGTTGATTTTGCAATTTACAGTCAGTCTTACTGTTGGTTTGACTGTGAGTATATGGGACTCTGGCAAAATGGAATGGAGCAAAACACACAAAGAAGACAGCCACGACAACAAATACTTTACCTTCCAGCCTTCGGTTGTTTTTGCTGTCCTTACTTTTGGACTTTCTATAAGAATTGTATACTTTTTTTGCAATCACTGTGTAAAACAGAAGCATTAGGACAAAAACAGTCCAGAAAATGAACTGGCATATATAATTCACCACTTCGTGCCATTTCAGCCCCAGAGGTCCCTTTAAGGAGGCACACTTTTTCACAGAGGATGGTGTTGCTTCCTTGTTGCTTAAGATCATATTTGGCAGGGAGTTGAGGAACAAAAAGAGCCAGACGAGGGTTGAGACCACTTTTGCAAAAGCAGGTTTTTGTACAAAAAATTTTCCAAAAGGTCTGATGATCTTGAGGAACCTGTCAAAGGCTATGAGTCCCAGCAGTATGATGCCCACATACATGGTCTCATAAAAGATGACAGCAGAGAAACGACACACAAATGCTCTGAGTTGCCAGGGTCCGAGGCGTGAGTCAGAGAGGATTTTAAACGGAAGCGTGAATGTCATTATCAAGTCGGCCACCAAAGTGTTTTTGAGGTAGACAATGAAGGTGGAGGAGCTGGGGATCTGAACAAACACCCACAGGGCTAGAGTGTTCAGCAGGATGCCGAGGAAGAAAACGACGGTGTAGATGGCGGGGATCACCAGCTGTCCTATCCGCATGTCCCTGGGGCAATGCTCAGACCCGTTGAAGCCCTTCATCGCTGTGGCATTCATGGTTTCCAACGTCAGCTGTTACAAATAAACACATACACAAAGGCAAACAAGAAGCATCTCATGATTTCAAAATGCTACTTGTTAAAAATAGACTTCAGGTTTGCAGCATGTTAACATGTTACATTTATTCATCACACTACATCAGTTGAGAAAGCACATGTTTCTGGCTAGAATTTTTAAAGCACATAGACTGTTTTTGGTACTTGTAGCAGTACCATTACTTTCATAGCCTTATGAAATCCAAATAACAGGTTCTACCCCATTCACAAGTGTTACTTTTAACATGGCAGTAAAACAAAACCCATTTAAGAGGCAATTATTCATGTCAGATTGCTATACATTATATAATTTCCTGTGCTCATAATCTGTGGTTTTTAGAATGCTAACCTTAAAGCATTTTTCCCCCTTGAACATATTCCATCATTTAGAAGCAAGCCACTCATAATAACAATTGAAATTCACCTTTGTTGGGGAGGGTACTCGGCTCAGTGTCTTCAGATCGAGGTGGTCATTAGTTCAGCTCATGAAGATTGTGTGAGGCAAATATCGTTCTGCTTTCTTATACCAAGTTTCCTTCCTCATTTTCACGTGTACAGTGTGACCCATTAGAACATCTTCATATGCAAACCTTTGGGGGATTTTCTAATAAGAGATCTTAATATTTCAAATTTATGTACTGTTAATCTATTATGGCTTGACTAAATCAGTGCAGTTATTTTTATATTTTCTCATATAATAACTTTTATGTAGTTTATCTTCTTTGTATACAAGTTCAATGAAATTTTTAGTACCTCTTGTATGTAATAATAGGAAGGGGAAATATAAAGAAAATAGCCTCAAATTATAGGAGAATAAGAGTTAACTCTAAAATCAGACAGTTATCACCCTACATCCTTGTAGACTGCTTTTTCCAGAAATTTGTGTTTGTTAGGGGTGGGTGGATATTTCTATAGACATTTATCTTAGTCTTTTGGTCTTTCAATCTCTGAGAGATAAAATGATGTATTTTCTAAGAGTTGAGAGCTGTTAGACCCAGGTTTTGGGGGTTAGAATTCTAGATTCACCCCCTTTTTGGGTACTCAATAATAAGACATATGATTGTGTAGCTCTGTGCTTCAGTTTCCTCCCTGTATAGTGGGCTTAATGACAGTATATACCTCATAGCGTTGTCGAGAGGCTGAAAGTGCCTGGAAGACGCTGGCTCCCTATGAAGCATGGAAAACTGTTAGCCACTCACTGCTATGGTCAGTGAATTGCAGATTTAAATGGAGATATTCTGTTTCACTTATTAGAAAACTATTTTTGGAAATCTCTTCTGTATTTGTGATTATATGCAAAGTGCTGAAGACTTCAGGGGTTTCCGCAGTCAGCCTTGGGTCAACGTCTATAACATCTTTGAAAGGATGTAAATTGCCACTTTTGTATAGAAAAGGTTGTTGTCTATGAAGAAATGCTTCATCACCAGACAAGTATAGGGAAAGAGGAAATCAGGAGATCTTATGAGGGAATGTGGGGTTCTCGATGGTGAGTTTCACTTCAGATTTCTCGCGTGCAAGTTTTACCGCAACATTGGACCAGACTGTGAGATTGACTTGATAGAGAATTTTGGATGACTTAGCTTGGAATTCTGAGAATTTTAAAATTCCGTATCCCCTTGGACATTTTTTAAAAGGAGGCAATAAGCTGCTTGATAATTTTGGTTGAAACTACCCAATGGTGGCACAGTTTGAAAAACTGGTGTTTGACTTGAGTAAGTCAATTCTTGGAATACAGATTCTGGATTTTATCAATGTTAATGGAACATAATTTAGAACATAATATATCTCTTTATTTGCTCTAGTAGAGAATAAAAACAAGCAAAAAAGATTAAGTAAAGGGATTGGACCTATTCTGTTAAGTATAAATTTCCTGACAGCTCCGAATCTATTATTTAGATGAAAATTCAGGATAGTTTCAGTTTAAACAAAGGAAATGCTATACAAGACAGTTTCATAACATGAAAACTGGAAATCACATTTTGGTCAAATTTCAAAATGCCAAAGTGTGGGAAACCTCAAAAGAGGAACTGGTTTATGGTGCCATTTCTAGAGTTATAGAAGTATCTTCTTTTACACGGGATAGGTTTTAGCATGTTTGACCATATTCAATATCCAGCAGATCACTCACCTCTTTACACCCATGTGCTTTATACATGTTAGCCAACTTTCCTTTGGTTCATAGCGGTGCCGGCACCCACTGTTGAAGATCTTTCACTCTTGATGGCATATCTCAGGGGCTCTGATGGGCTAGGGACACTGCCTCAGGAGCCAGAGTGCCTGGGTTCAATTCCTTATTCCAGCTGTACTTTTCCTGTGACCTTGGTCAGGTTATTTACGCTCCCAATGAAACTACCGTCCCCTCTTAACAATGAAAATAAGTAGTAGTATTTGCTTTATAGGGTTGTTAAGGGGACAAAATGAGTAAATGTTTACCCAGTGCTTTGAATAATGTCTGTCAAATGGTATGGGTTAGCTTCTTGTTAGATGAAATTAAAAGTGTACACCTTTGTGTACATCTGTGTGGATAGCTCATGAAAGACAGGAGAGAATCAAAGAAGATACAGTGAAAGGTCCTAGAAATTATTCCGATTTGGCAAGCTCCTAAACTAAACATTTAAAATCCTATCAAACTCAAGGGGAGTATAGTTAAAACCAATAAAATCACATTAACTATACTGTTCTAAGTGGTTATGTGATCGTATTTAATTCTTACAACAACCCTCCACTTTACAGATGAGAAAATGGAAGTACAGTGGTTAGGCAGTTTGCCCGAAGTCCTGCAGCCAAAGCCCCCTGCAGACCCATACATTCTGGTTCCAGAGCCCATGCTCAGAACCAGCCTCTCCAATCTGTTTGCCGGAAGCCAGAGACAGGATGAATGTGGAACTGTTTACCAAATTTTGGAGTTTTTGAGCTGGGTATTACTAATTGATGAGTGAGGAGGTACACTCAACCTTAAAGTTTCATGGGCTTGTGAAACTCTTTGGGTCAAAGTGAGGTCCCAGGTTAAAAACATAAATTGGTTCATAGTTGTATGATCAATAGTGAAATACATAATGAAGAGTCATAAAAATTAGAAGCCGGCCAAATGAGAATAAATGACTTTTGGCATCTGTAGTCTTCTTCGGGATTTTCCTTTGGATCAGAGTTAATAGTATAAAGTTCCTGTTGCTGTAGTAACCAGTACCGTGTAAGTAATAGCTGAAAAGATGAGGAAGTATTTGCTTTCATTTGGAATGAAAGTCAAAATGGGAACTCCTTTACTCATAGAAGAGCCTTTTACTTCCTATAAAAGGGTACCCTGGTACTTTCTCAGATTATATGAAAGTGTTTAAAATCCCACAGTGGATTGTAAAAGTGGTAATAATACAAAATAAGTTATGCAATTTAACATGAACTGTAGTGATCTATGCATATAAATGAATTCTGTATTGGAAAATCTCTTCATATTACTGGAGACAAACAAGAAATTCACACTATTATCTGAGACATTTATGTTAATGTCCAATTTCGTAATTTTATTATAAAAAGAAAACATGTTTAAAGAATTCAAATATAGACCTATATAGTAGAAAGTGGGAGTTAATCCCCCTTACATGCATACCAATGTGGGCAAATACATGTATATTTACATTTATTGGCATGTTGGATCTTTGTTTCATTCTATGTTAATACATCAAGATTTGCTATTTTTAAAAAGGTTATACTGTATAAAGTTACCATAGTTTGTTTAGTTCACCTGTTACTGATGGGCAGTGAATGTTTCCTCCCCAGTTTCATGCTATTAAAAACATACTATAGAGCAAATACCTCTCCGTACACCTTTGTGTACTTGCCCCAACATTCATTTATATGAAGTTTTCTAGAGGTGGGATTACTGGGTAAAAATCTATGCATTGAACTGTTGAATGATATTTTCAAAAAGCTTTGCAGAAAGATTGTACCAATTTATAATCTCACTGACTGGGATTATCCAACACTGTTACTAAAATTCTTTTAGATCAGTTCTAACCTTATAGTTGAAAAAAGCCATGCCATGTAAATATAAATTTGTTTGTTAGTGAGGCTGTGTATCTTTTCGTATTTTTGTTGTCTGTTTGTATTTCTCCTGGAAATTGATTTTTCTTGCCCTTTCCTCATTTTTTAAAAGAAGTCAGGCTGTTCCTCTTTACTTAGTGGCTTCTAAGTGTATTTGCAGATCTTTTGTTCCTGCCAGCATCATTGTAGTTCCACTTTGGGCATCACCAGCCAACAGTGATCACCTAGGTCAGCCGCAGGAATCTGCAGGTGTTTTCAGTGCAAAGCTTCTGAAGCACCAAGATGCTTGAACAGAGAGTTCTTTTCCTATGTGGGGCTTTTCTCTCTGTTTTTTAGAGTTCTAGTCCATTGGCTGTCAATTCTCTAAAGAGCCAGGTAGTAAATGTTTAGGGTTTGTGGCCATGCATCTCCGTCACAGCTACTCAACTCTGTTGCTGTGGCGAGAAACCGGCCATAGATAAAACCTGAGTGGGTGTGGCTGTGTGCTAATAAAACCTTATGGACACTGAAACCTGAATTTCATACCACTTTAGTGCAACGTGAAATTTTATTCTTCTGATTTTTCTCCCATAAGCATTTGAAAATGCAAGAGCCATTCATTCTTAGGTCACAGGCTGTACAAAACGGGCGATGGGCTTGATTTGGCTTGCAGGTTGGAGTTTGGTACAGCTGCTTTAGACTGGCAATAACCAGCATCCTTAGGACTCGTTTGCCTCTAAGGCTGTGGACAAGACTACATTTTGTTTATCTCATCTTCTGAACCTGAGTCTACAAAGTTTAGTTTCTCTTTTCTCTCTCTCTCTGAAGTTACTGTGAAATGTGGGCTGTATTGTGTATATTAAAATTCCTAAAGCTAGAGATAGTGACATGAGCTGTGTATAATGAGTGTTCCATAAATACTGATCTCTCAATCTGTCTTAAGGGTTCACTTTGATGTTTGATATAGGAGTATACACTGTCTCATGTCTTCAAATAAAAACTTCCCAACAGAGTGTGATTTAGAGTTTAATGTAAATTTTTCGTATTATATATAAAAATAGATAATTCTGAACTTTTTACAAACTTTTTCAACAAAAGTATGTATTACTATTAGCTTTTCTGATTTTTTTCTTTCTCTTGTGGAAATTGTTATCTCAGTGAATAAGTTTAATCTAACATGACAGATTATGCAGGAGCCTTTGCCCACTCTGCAGGCAGTCTCCCAGCACCTCACGTGGTCCTGACATGTGCCTGGTCTTACTCCAGTCCCTGCCCCCGACGTGGCTGGGTTAGGGGGCTATCTGCCCTTCGTTTTTCCCCTGCGCAAAATTAGCAGGTCAGGTGAGTTGATCCTTAGTTTCTCTTTCAGCTCACGTATCCTGGAATTCTTACAGAATGTGCACACTTACTCATATGGCATTAGAGTGAACTGCCTTACTCTATGTGGCAGAAATGGCTATTGCTTTTGTCCCAGCGGTCAGTAGAACATGCATCTTTTTTGATGCCTGTCTCTGTGTGCATCACCACCAATGTCCAGTGCTCACCCGAGAAGGAAATGTGGCCGCTCAAGAATAGATACCCTTTGGAGAGTTAACTGAGTTCAACTTTGTACTGAAATTTAACTCAGCACAACTTGTGGAGGGTTTGGGTAAAAATCCCTTTTTATGTCTTCTCACATTATGTTTCGATGTTGGTATCTATGCCTTGTGTTTGGCAGTGACCTCTGAGGATCAAAAATAATTGAAATGAATGATGCCAACTTCCAAGTGTGTTATATATTTTGTTTACATTAAAAATAATAGGGCTTGTGTGAAGTCAGGCTACATTGTAAGTTTGACATATTTTTTCACTTACATGTGAACTAATTGATGTAAGATGTCACCTTCAAAGGAGACTGCCCAGTAGCTTGTAATAAAAAGGATGGCGTCGGCAACTGTTCTTTCTTAAATGGATCTGAGGAGTATATAGGAGGTGAGTCACGGTATCTCATATCTTTAAAGAAAAATTCCAACAAAGGGTATTTTTAGAGTTTAATGTAAATCTTTTGTTATATGCACAAATGACAAACAGATAATTTCAAACATTTTTATCACTTTCCTGTTAATAGTTATGCTATACAACTGCATAATCATATTTAATTTGTTTTTCTCTTAGGGGAAATGTTCATTAACCTAAGTCTCAGGTAGTTTCTAGAAGCTAGTTAATAAAGATAGATGTTAATAATGGCATTGTATTTACTAAAGTTGTCAAAATATTAGTAAACTGGTTTCTCTAGTGTTAAGGAAATGCAAGTTTTTGGTATTAGGGTCTCATAAAATAACTTTTAATAACTTTGCTATTTCTGCTCTTTTTTTGGAAAGGAAGTTTTTAAGCCTCTATCTTCTTAATGAAAAAAAATTAGTCTAATCAACTGCCATTTCAATTAGTTTAAATCCCTTAGATTTTTGCTTATAATTACAAGTTAGTAGTTACTGCTCTCTGAGTGTTCCACTTACTTAAATTTTTATGAGTATCACCATAGGTCAGCATTGGTTAGGGGTCTGGGATATATATACACACATGTATAAGTATGTATACATATAATATACTTAGAAGATTTTTATCAGATTTATCATTCTTTCTCAGTTGATTATAAGTTGATAATGGCATTGTGATCAGTAATGTATTTAAAGAATTACAGTAGATGTTGTTGTATGGTTACCCATTGTACCAAAGCTCTACAGGTCATGACTCCTGTGTAGTTTTGCACATGGTGTAGTGATTGGATGCAGTTTGGTTTGCTACACGACTACATGTTAGGTTATCTTCCTACACTTTAAGATTGCTTTCAAATACTGGACCAGTAAGTGAAAATTGCTTCTGTAGTCGTCTATGATTTGTTTCAAGAGTTACTGTTACTAACTCAGCTAATCCATAGTCAGTGTTAATACTAACAGATTGAAGTATTACCTCAGTTTATTTACATTGGAGTCTCTTCGCTTGGCTCTCCACCATCCTGTCCCTTTTTCCTATTTTTGTGGGATGGAGATGATGCAGAATTGGGGCATTTGAGCATACCCATCAGGGAATTTTTGAAAGATTTACAAAGGAAAAAGTAGATGAACGGATCCAGGCATGCGTTCAGGGACGTTAACCAAAGAGTGCTCTCTTTCACATAGAACAGCGTATTTTCAGCAGAGCAGTCAAAGACATCCCGAGTTTGACTCAGGGTGTAGGGAATTCGGGCAAAATGGAAAGGAACAAAGCAAATAAAAAATACAGCAATGATAATGAAAACTTTGATGTTCACCTTTTTCTTGGGGACTTTGCCTGCGCCCCTTGTCCTTACGTATGACTTGTAGAGTTCTTTTGTAATGAGCGTATAGCATACAACGACAATCAGAAAGTTAATCCAGAAAATGACTTGACAGATGTAATTGACTATCTCATGCCAGACCAGACCAAACTCTGATTTCAGGAAAGAGCATTTCTTCACATTCTTGTCACTCGGCCTCCTGTTGGTCAGAATCATGTTAGGCAAGGAGAGTAAGAACATGAATGCCCAGATGACGACAGAGAGAATCTTTGCCCCCAATAGATTGTTGGGGTTGGATGTTTTAAATGGCTGGGTGGTCTTCTGGTAGCGATCGATAGTTATCAGTCCTAGGAATGAAATACTGATGTACATCGTGAAGTAAAAGATGACAGAGGTCACCTGGCACACAAAGGCTCTCAGCGGTCCTGTTCCCAGGTTGGTATCACTGAGGATTTTGAATGGAAAAGTCAGAATCATGAGAAGGTCAGAAATGACTGTGTTTTTAAGGAAAATAATAAAGTTGGATTTACTGCGGATTTGAAAGAAAATCCTCATTGCCAGACTGTTTATGATGAGACCAACAAAAAACAGGACAGTATAGAGGAGTGGGAAGAGGACCTGGGTGATTTTGTAATCCCTGGAGCACACGCTGCCATTCCCAGCCGCAGAGGTGAGGTTGTCCATGGCTCGTGTTTCTTCTTTGCTACCTACAGAAGGAGGGGGCGAGATGGTTATTTTCAGTCCCACATAGTTGATTTCACTCATCTCTGTGTGTAATATTTTAGGACAGCCTTTTCTAAAAATTGAGGTGTCTGATCCTCACTGTGGCAGTCAGTAAGAACACAGAAAATTAAATCTGAAAATATTTCATTGTGGCAAATATTCTGTCTGTAGCAAAGTAAAATAATCTAAAGTACGTTATATGAAGTTATGGATCCTTGCATTTCTTAGTTTTTGAATGTTTGCCTCAAAAGGGACATTTCTGACCTTAGGCAAAAGTGCACATGCAGAAAAACTAGAAGAGAAATATTTGGACTATGGTTTAGTCTTCTCCAGCTTCATTTCCGTGCCTTTAGCTTTTTTGTTTCTATTGATAGTCACTTTTCTGACACCATCCTTACTCCTGGACTTCATTTACTCTGGTACCTTCCAAGGGTACTAAGGAGAAGCGACTGATAATTGCCTATTAGAATTTTAAAATAACAAGTGAAAAGAAATTTGTATAAAATCACTCATGAGAAATTTATTGTTAAATAAAAAACAGAAAATTTTTTTCTTTGTAATTGGGAGGAATTATATTCCTGTATTACTCATCAATCCATACGAAAATTGGCCTCACAGAGAATATTCGTTAGCTCCAAATATTTTAACCCATGATAACTCATTTCCAACTCTGCTCAGTGTATTTGAAGGTTTTACACACATTTCCTTGAATATCATTTAGTGCAAATTTTTAAATGGTAAAAAAATAAAAAATAAGGAAATGGCTTCTGCATGTAGTCACAGATGGCATTCCTCAAAACAGCCCAGGCATACTTTCTAGGTTTATAGAGTGTTTAATGGTGACTAAAAACACTAAAATCATGTCCTTGTCTAGTTCCATAGGTTGTTATACCACAATAAGCAGCTATAAAGAAAACTAACACTTGACTTGAACACATTATCTAGCATCTAAGTTTTGAAATTTAAAATGAAAAATTGTAAAATTTTATTTCATCAGACTAATGGAATTGATTCTACATAAAATATTATTTCTAAAGAAAGACACAGTAATGTCAAAAATACAAATATGTAAACTTAAAAAATGCTTCCATGTAAAAGATTTAAATAGTACAGAAATGGCATTAAATTCTCCAAAATGTCAGTGGAATTCTTTTTTCCATCCTTTAATTATTGAAGGTAAAACAGGTTAGATTCATGTCACAGTATGGCTTCAATATTCAATACCTGCTCATCTGTTTAACTTTGAAAAAGACAACTAAACAGACCCCCCAGTATTTGACGCAAGCTCCCTGATTTAACCTTCCTTGCTACTGTTATTTGCCGTTGTACACTCTGTGATAGTTTTGGAAATTCTACTTTGGGAACGCTCATTTTGCATAGGCTGTAACTTATTTAACAAGTATTCTTGATACTGAGAACTTCAGCTCCCTCTGCCTGTATTTAAATCTCATTTACACTCAAGGTAAAAGAAGTAGAACTATTTGAATTTTATTTCCATGTTCTGCAGAAATTTTTTTTTTAATGAAGAAGTTAAGCGTTATCTTTGACACCATTAATGCCGCTTGTATTTTCATTTTTATTCCAAATAAGTGCTTGCACTGACATTGTTATTAAAGATTTCCAACTTTAAGAAAACTTGAAAAAATATACACACACATCATAGTGCAAATACATATACTTGTCAAATACTTCTAGATATAAAGTTACCTGGTTACTCTGTTGATTCTGAAGGATTTGAATGTGTCCAGTAAATGGTAGTTAACACAGCCTGCAGAGTGGCATCTGGTATTTTCCTTTTAATATCTTAGTTTAGTTGTTAAAATTCTTTATGACAGAGAATCTGCTGAGTTTTCATCAGTAAGGTCTTGAGTATTCTAGAGAGAAATGGAGGGAGAGAGGAAGAGGACTTCACAATCAGAAGTTACCTTCAAGAGCCGTGGACTCAGAGCTATGCAGACACTCTATTTCTGTCTGGCCGCTTTTAGGACTTCTGCTTTTATTTCCCTGGGAAGTGTGGGGCAGGGTGGGTGAGAAGTCATCTTTTAAAAAGCAGTTTAAAATCTTGCGGCTTTTTACTGAAACCTGCCAAAGAGTTCATACTTAGTGAGTTCTTTGGGTTATTTCCCATGCAAATGATAATTCCAAGTTTAGACCAAGCCTTTGTCGACATCTGCTTCCTGGAGAAGGTTGCAAACTTGCTTTCTTAGATGGTTATTTACCTGAAAGCACATTGTGCTCAACATTGGGTGATATATTACCTTTGAACAAGTAATTGCATTAACTTGAAATGTGTGTTTGTTAAGGATGTTAAGTCTCTTGCTGTTTGTTTTTTTCCTAGTTAATAATGTCATTATTTTAAATCTGTGTTTGATCAGCTCTTTGTAGGCAACACAATTTCCTCCTATTATAAATTTTAAGATTCTAAAATTACATCAGAAAAGAAAAACAGTTGTAGCCATGGCCAGGCTTATTATATTGTGTCTTTCTTGCTTTTCTTAATAGAATTTAAATATAAACAAATTATTATTATTTTTTTGACATCACTTTTGGGGGAAATGTATCATTAAATGGAGGAATTCTTGTATCACTGTTACCTTTATGTAAATATTGTGGGCACTCACGGACGTGTACACACTTGCACAATGTTTTAAACTGTGATGTCCTTCTGTTACCAGTAGATCCGCTTGGGTAGGTGCCTTTGCTATGAATATATGTTTTGGTTATTTGTTTCTTCTGAGTTTTTGGTGCATCTGTGTCTACGTTAGATATACATACCTAACTTATTGTAGAAATACTTCAGCAGTGGTTTTTAAAGTACGGAACAGCAGCTCAGCATCACTTAGGAAGTCACGAGCAGTACCCTTTCTTCGGCACCAGTGTAGCACCAGTGGATCAGAAACTCTGGGGTGCACCCCTCATCTGTGTATTAATGGGCCTTCCAGGTGGTGCTCCTGCACACTGCGGTGTGGAGACTGCTAATCTACACTGCCTGAGGATTTTGTTGGCTTTACGAATTTGAAATCAAGCTATGAATTAAGCTGATTTCTGTTGGAAATTTCAGTCACATGATGATCCCCATCTGTTAGTCATCTAGAGGTGTTAGTCTGATGAAATACTCTTGGAAAATTAATGAATTTGTTGGTTGGGAGACACACAAAATATTTCCTAAAAAAGCTTTCATGCCGTCATACACTTCAGAGTAATAATAGCCAACACCTGGTTTCTTACATGGCCATGAGTTAACTCATTTTATGATCTCAACTAGTCTCTGAAGCAGACATTCATCTTATTTCCATTCTCCGGATGACAGAAACTGAGGAGCAGAGCAGTGAAGTTAGAAACCCTATTCCAGGCCCTGCTGTCTGATCCCAGAGCCTGCACTTGTGACCACTATGTATAAAAATCCACCCAATCTCACTGTCTCTGCAGCCCTTCCCCACAGCCCCCACCGCCACCCTGAGGCCCAGGAGCGAGAGGTGAATGGTACGAGTGGAATGGCTACTCTTCCTTTAATAAAATAGGAGCCTTACTTGCCTTTACACCAGATTGTAAACTTTAAAGTATGTTTATGAAGTGTTTCTAAGATCTTTGTATGAAATAAGGCGCATAAAAAAAGACTATTTTTAACAAATTAATATGCTGTGCCTAAAGAACACTAAATCAGGATACTTGAATCATGCTACTTTATGGAGAATTTATATGTCCAAATCTCTAAAGGGCTGTAACTCTGGATTTGAGAGGTAAATGAAATTGATCTAAATTAACTTTCTCCAGCCTCTGATTTTAACTCACAACTCTCTGTGAACCTTCTCTGATAGAATTTTCTCATTGGAGGTTGACTGCCAATTACCGTTTAGAAATGTGACCCTGCAAGTGACTAAAATCTTTGAGAACTGTCTGAGGTTGTCTAAATATGTTATCATACAAGTAGAAGTATGTGCACTTTGACCTCTCGGTCAACACCACCACCACATGTAGTTTGTAACTGTATGTGCTACTGTTAAGAATAGGACTAGCTTTGATTTAGTTATTGTCTGAGATTGAGATGACCTAGAAAAGTGAACTAATGCTACATAGCCTAGAATTTTCACCTGCAAGTGGTTTAATTGGTTTATTTATTTTATCCAGTCTACTAAAGGTAGTCTGCTTATCTGAAAATATGTATTTGCTTCAAATGGGATTACTCTGAATGGAGAAGGCCGTGCCCTGAAATGGTAGGACCCTGCCTGTGGTCCTTGTGAAACCAAGTTGAGGCAGGAGGTTGGAGAGGTAATTAAGCCATCGGATTAGCTCTTAGGCCATTTTAGTTTTAACGTTTTATTGTTTTGAAATGTGGTCATTTTGACATGAGTGAATGTTTTGATTGAGCACAGGCATTTAAAGGCAGTTTTTATGTCATCTAGCTTGGCTTTACCTGTTAGAGGATAGAAATTTAGGTTAGATACAAGACAAATTCCAAAAGTTAGGAGTCTTGGGCATTGAGGCATTTAGCAAAAAAAAAGAATTCTGTCTCTGATGATCCAGGTATTTGTCATCCTTGAGTGTTTTGCTTGAAAGCAGAGGACTAGTTTATATGGTTAAACTGCTTCACAGCCACTATGCCCCGAGGCTGCTGAGTTTGTTGGATAAAGGCCTGACTTCCAGTCATGCTGTGACCTATAAGCTGTTGTAGAACAAAGACTTACTTTACAAATCTAATTAAAGGGGTCTCTAATTTTCTTGATGTAAAGAAAAATTACTCCATGTCAGGTATAGTTACTAATAATGAGAAGAGGCTGCAAATTTCCTTGTTCCTTTCACATAGCTCCCCACACGTTTACTTGAATTTATTTTCTTCTGCACAGAATCATGTGGTATATTGAAAACTTCAGCTAAAAGGAATAATGATTGAAGGTGAATGGAAGCTCTAATAATCTCACCACCGTTATCATATCTTTGTGAATACACATGTAAGTTTTGGCAACATTCCTAGTCACTTATTTTGAAGAAAGGAAGGGACTAATATCAGACTTCAATTCAGTTAACTCCAGTTTTCCCTTCTCAGGACATACGGCTCAAGAGACCTTTAATTTCTATTGTACAACAAACTTTCTAGACTTTCTGGATGTGTATCCTCCTAATTTTTTTAAACATCAGTTAAGCTTTTGTGAGTGTGACATATTATCTGAAGGAAGAAAGTAGTTGATCTGGAGGATGAAAATTTCACAAGTCAGCTTACAGGGTGGGTGATCTGTTTAACCCAGAGACAGCAGTGGGCTAGCACGAGAGGGGTCTCTAGACTTCATGGACTCTTCTGCCCAACACATGTGTCCTTTGGGGTATCAACAAGAGAGCAATTCTTTGGTACTGATCTTTTACAACTATGTAACTTGAGGGTGTTTTAATACCTAGTTGAAAGGGAACACTCATCGGTACCTTTGGGAATATTTGGCCCATTTTTTGAGATTGACCTTATTCTCATGTATAAGTTGCTATTAGAAGATTTCTGCATTTTCTACATGCACAAAATATTGATAGAAGCCAATCTTGTAGTCTATTGAAATACAGTTGCTTTTAAAATCTGTCTGCCTTTCCTCTGTGAATACTAGTAACAGCTACAATGGTTTCCCTAAAAAAATGTTAACTATCAGAAACACAGTCTTTACATCCCATGTAGAGGTTGACCAGTGTTTGTTTTTTCCCAGCTAACTGCATGCTTCTCTCGCTTTTTAATTCCATTCCCTTATTCTCACCTCATGACTTTGCTTCTGGCCCAGTTCCCCAAGCACAGCAGGGCCAATGAACTGACATACCCGCCTTCAGGGTCCTCGCTTCTTTACCTCCAGACTTCCCTGTATTGTCACCAGTTTTCTCTTTCCTCTGTGGTTAAGTAGAAAGATGTTCTTGTCTTTCTTTTGAAGTTAATCCAGACAAGAGGGCATTGTTTTCTGTTTCCTTTGTTAGTTATCTGCCCTGCAGTCCGGATTTCCTTTACGGAGATGCTCTTATTTGAAACTTAGCTTTGAAACAAGAGTTTGTCCTTGATTATCCTAATACAGTTTCTCTTTCCTCTCAAGCTGTTGTTCTTCATACCCAGCTATTAGTAAGTGTAGGTTAGTTCCCTCACCTTCACCATTTCACCATCTACTCTTACTTCAGCCTCCTGTTTCCTGCTTTCTGCCCTCCCACTCTAGAGAAACTTATCTTTTGAGGTTCACACATGGGTTTTTTTTGTTGTTTGTTTTTTTTAGAAACAAGTCAGAGAGGCCAACGTCCATTGTAATTTCTTAACCGTATTCAACACTGTTGATGGCCCCTGTTGTTAACTGTCCCTTCCCTCACTTTTGTGACTTTGACTTGTCTGGTCCTTTATGAATTATGGAGAGTGTATGTCCATCATTTGTTGACTTATTTATCCCCATTACTGTCTCTGCTCGCTTCTCCCCCAACCCCTGCCCAAAGAGAACATGGGGCTTTTCAACCTCTTCTAGTGACATATTACTCTTAACCCAAGCTGTCCCTTCTTTATTAATTCTGGCATCAAACCACCCGCTAGACATTTGTAATATGATTCCACCTACCCATTGTGTTCCTCTCACCTAAAGGTGAATTCATAAGGTCCCTGCCCTTATACCCTACTCTTTTTCCCCCCAGCAAATTTTATCTAGTGAGTCTATCTTGACATCCAGTGAGATGCACATCCACTCAGATGCTTAATCCTTTCCTAACTTCCTTCAGATAGCTCTTGATTTTGCTTCTTATTTTTTATTTCCACCACTAACTTTCTCTCTGCCTCTCATTTCTCTTTAGTTTGGTCAACACTAAATTATCAGGTTAAGTTTCCTACAGAACTAGTTTTTGTTCTTATCTTCATCCCTGCCGTCCTCTTTTAGTC